ATATATGAGTTTGTATGTAATGTATGAATATAAAATACAAGTTTCACTTTTTAAATGGAATTACTGAAATAAATCTACTTTTTCATGATATTCTAATTTTATGACCAGCACCTGTATGTTCAAGGTTTGTACGTTTTTACTCTTGTGTGCGGATGCTAGCTACCGTTTGTTAGTTTTCAGGCAGCTGATTAGCATCTCTGTTTGTAGCCTAGCATGCTAACAAATGGACGAAAATCAGTTTAAAGTTTAAAGCTTCCGCGTCACTTTTAAAAACAACCGAAAACTCAAATCTGTTCTCAATAAATTAGAGTGATCCAGAATCTATTCTGCAGACCCAAATTTTCTCAAGTTTTTATTTACTCAATGCTACTTGATATAATTTCTTAGCATTAGCCTAATGATTAGCTGTGGGTATCTGGAACTGGAAGTTCTAATGAAGTTTTAGAACAGAATAAACTTTATTGTCACTCAGTAGGAAAGTTCAGATTTACAGCAGTAGTTACAAAAATATTTAAACACGAAGTTGAACATTAAAAAATTTAAATATAAGAGAAAACAGAAGAGTCAGTAACAAGCGTGAGTTTATTTCTTTACTTACGGTCGTTGTTTTTCTTTTCTTTAGTTGTTTGAACCAAGAAAACACATTTAAGATGTTTTTTTCACCTGAAATGTAAATATGAATAATTCATTATATTTTGGAAATAAAAATGTTTCTTTATATGTACATTATACTTTGAAGTCTTTTTGTTGAGGTTGTTGATTGCTGTTCTTAATAAAGTTCTATTAATAAAAAATATAAAAGTTTTAGGGGTGCGACGATACAGAAGATTCACGTTTCGCTTCGATACTTTAGTCTCACGGTTCGATATTTTTTCGATACAAAAAAGAGAAATTTCCATGTCTAGTTACATTATTGTTTTAGATGGATAGACAAAACCGCACATTAAATATATTTTGTTTGTTTGTTTATTTATACAGAGACAATGTACAACATTTCATTAACCTTTTACAAGGAGAGATGCATACTACCAGGTTATAGCAAAGAATGCTAATTTCCACCTGCAGTCCCTGGACAGGTTGATGTGATCAAATGGGATTTAACACGATAAAAAGTCACTCAGATTTAATTAAAACCAAACTACAAACTTAAAACAAACTCATAAAACATTCTCCTTGCTTTCATCAGTTTTGAGTACAAATCTGCTTATTTAACAGCCATATTTTTTCCAAATTTGCAAACATTTTATAAGTGGAACATGTTATAATGTTCTTTGGCAAGCTATTCCAATGATTTGTGGTGACAGAGAAAGAAGTTTTATTAAAAGCAGTTCTACATTTTGGGATGCTGCACTCACCTGTAGAGGTCGCCCTTGTGATTCTAGTCATGTTTTCTGATCTCAGACAAACTTTCTTAAAGGGGGATTTTGTCAACTAAACAAAATGTTTGCATAAAATATTAGATGTTCAAAGTTTAAAAAATTGTAATTTAAAAGAATATGACAGTGATGATATTATCTTGATTTCTTGTCATGAATCTTTAAAGCACTTTTATATATTGTTTCAAAGTTGTTTGCATGCCTGTGACCAACTACTCATACAATATAAAAAACATGAAAAAAATCATATAATGAAGGTAAATATGGGAAGCCTCAGTCATAAGAGAGACATGTATTTACCTAAAATTAATTAAACTGCATGTTAAAGACTTTCTAAATTTTTTACATGATTTTTTAAAGGTTAAAGCTGGATCTAAACACACCTAAATACGTAAATTCAGCAACATTTTGAACCCCCCCCCCCCTTTATATTAATATCTGGATAACTCATAATTTTTCTTCTATTTATAAAAACAAATTGCAACTGTCTTTCCTGTGTTTAAGGAGAAACTAGACTTTTGCAACCATTTAGTGATGCTCTTCAGTTCTTCTGTTAATCTCAAGGCCACTTCTTCAGCATTTTTTCCATTTGTGAATAAAACAGTGTCGTTCTGCATACATAATAATATTAGAGTCACACACGGGTGGGAGATCATTAATATACAAACTAAAAAAGCAGTGGTCCTAAAACAGAGCCCTGCGGCACTCCCATGACACAATCTTTGAAAGAAGACGGTGTGTGATTTACTCTAATACACTGTTTCCTTCCATTAAGATAAGATTTAAACAAATTCATTGTTTCACTAGACAATTAATAGTTTGCTAATTTATGCAATAGGATGTTGTGATTAACGGTGTCAAAAGCTTTTTGAAAATCCAGAAAAATGGCACCAACTACCCCTCTGGTCCAAGCTTGATTTGATCACCTCAGGAAGCAGGTGCGTGCTGTTTCTGTTGAATAATTCTTTCTAAAGACAGACTGTAAATGGTGGGCCGATAGTTACTAATCTCTGTTTATCACCCGACTTATATACAGGTGTTACAATAAAAAATTTTAATGCAGCAGGAAATATATTGTCTTTTATAGACTGGTTTGTTTTATTTGTTAGGGCTCTACACTGAGATTTGATGGTCAGTTGTCAAGCCTGTTTTACTGAACGTTTTCAAGGCTGCTTTTCTTTGCTTCATTATTTCCAAAAGCTCACTATTAAACCATGGTAAAGTCTTTCTTCTTTCTGTGTTACTTCTTTTTGTTTTTGTATATTTTAATAAAAGAACTTGTAAAACTGTTTAATCACTGCACGCTTGCTCAAATGTTGTACCATTTGGATTAAATGGTAATGTTTATTAGTGTACTTTTACTGAATATAAAGGTACAAATATTTAATATTTGTATGTTAAGTAAAATATTAATTTAATAAACAACTTAAAATTCTAATTGCTGACTTTTACTTTTTACATTACCATGATTTTAACTTTTTGTAAATGTGTTTTACTTCATCCCAATAAAAATAAAATTACATTTTTATCATTAAAGTCCAAAAAGCTTCTAATTTGTAGAGTTGGCTTGAATAACACAGTCACCGTGCTTTTATTTTGGATTTCCGTAATGAACAGAACAACATCCGGTGTTTGACTGTCATCAGTAGAAGTGTTTGGAGTCAGGGCGACAAATCAGTATAAGAGGCTGTTTTCAACCTCACCGACCAGCTGTAAAATCAGGGTTTGTATGTATTTGCTCTTGTGTGATGACGTTAGCCACCGTTTGTTAGTTTTCAGGCAGCCGATTAGCATCTTGTCTCTGTTTGATGTAGCTTAGCATGCTAACAAACTGATGAAACCCAGTGTGTTTTTACGCTCCTGTGCCACTTTTCTAAACACTGGAAAACAAAAATTAGCTGTTCATAATTGATATTGTTTGAGAAACTGTGCTATAAACTCAAACCTTGTCTTTATTACGTTTTTATCCATGTTACCTGATAGCATTAGCATTAGCTGTGGGCCTCCCTAGCCGGAAGTCTTAATAAAGCGTTGTGTTCTTCAGTGATAGCATAATAATATAATACTTTATACATACTAGCGTCTTTATTTAAGTGGTTAGTGTTTAATGAGGTTTAATTTGTTTTAACACAAACTGACACATTTTGACAGATAGAAATGTAAACATGTCTGCAAGAAAATGGTAGTTTTGTGCGCATGCGCACAGTGGAGCTTTGCTCTTTCGCACTCTTGTCGAAGCCACGTCACTCGGGGCAAACAACACAAGTGATGGATGTGTGAGTATAAAGGTAATATTGTTCCTGATGTTGATGTGTTTCAGTGGTTCCTGCTCATGTTGAACAGATGGTGCTGATTAAAGAAGAAGCTCCTGAAGAATGGAGGCCTGGTGTGGACCAGCTGGACCCAGAAGCCCTCAACATAAAAGAAGAAGAAGAGGAGGAACCTTGGAGCAGACTGGAGGGAGAGCAGCTGAATGTGAAGGAGGAGACTGATGTCAGCGGGTTTTCAATTATTACAGTTACCTTGAAGAGTGAAGATGATGAAGATGATGAAGAGAAGCCTCTGTTGTCACAGCTTCATCAGCACCAAGTGGAGGACAGAGATCTTCCAAGCAGCAGCTCAGCTGATGGAGAGGACTGTGGAGGAGCAGAAACTAGCAGGAACCCAGATCTACAGACTCACAAAGACCATTCCAGCTCTTCAGAGACTGAACTCAGTGAGGATTATGAAGAGGACCAGGATGTGGACTACCAACACAACAACACAGTGAAAATAACAGGAGAGACTTGCAGGAACATCCAGACAGAACCAAAAACATTTAAATGTGTCGACTGCAAAAAAACATTTGTCAGTAAAAAGTATCTAAAGGCACACATGGTGGTCCACGCTGGAGTCAAACTGTTTCCTTGTGATGTTTGTGGACAAAGATTTAACCGTAAGTCAAACCTAAATATACACATGAGAATCCACACAGGAGACAAACCGTTCTCATGTGATGTMTGTGGACAAAGATTTAGACGTAGTGACTTTTTAAACAACCACATGAGTGTCCACAAAGGAGAGGAACAGTTTCCATGTGATGTTTGTGGACAAGGGTTTGATCACTATGTCGCTTTAAAAAGACACACGGAGAGCCACAGAGTGGACAAACCGTGTCTGTGTGATGTTTGTGGGAAAAGATTTAGCTGCAAGTCCAATTTAAACAAACACATCAGAATCCACACAGGAGACAAACCGTTCCAATGTGGTGTTTGTGGACTAAGGTTCAGAAGTAGCGACATTTTAAACTCCCACGTGAATGTCCACATAGGAGACAAACCTATTCTTTGTGATGTTTGTGGACAAAAATTTGATCAGTATGTTGATTTAAAAAGACACGTGGAAAGCCACAGAACAGACAAACCGTGTCTGTGTGAAGTTTGTGGGCAGAGATTTACCTGTAAGTCAGGTTTAAACAAACACATGAGAATCCACACAGGAGACAAACCGTTCTCCTGTGATGTTTGTGGACACGGATTCAGACGTAGTGACCTTTTAAACTCCCATATGAGTGTCCACGTTGGAGACGAACCATTCCCATGTCATGTTTGTGGACAAATATTTGATCACTATGTTGGTTTAAAAAAACACATGGATATCCACAGAGTGGACAAACCGTTTCCTTGTGATGTTTGTGGGCAAAGATTTAGCCGTAAGTCAAATTTAAACTCCCACATTACACTCCACACAGGAGCCAAACCGTTCTCATGTGATGTTTGTGGACAAAGATTTAGACGAAGTGACGTTTTAAACTCCCACATGAGTGTCCACAAAGGACACAAACTGTTTCCGTGTGATGTTTGTGGTGAACAATTTAGGCTAAAGTCACATTTAAACTCCCACATGGGAGTCCACGCAGGAGATAAAAAGTTTTCTTGTGGTGTTTGTGGACAAAGATTTAGTATGAATTACAAATTGAACAGACACATGAGAATCCACACAGGGGAAAAACCAGTTTCTCTGTAAACACAGAGTTTCTGTGGGAATTAAATGGAAATTGCAAAATTTCAGGTCTCAATAACTTAAAAAGCATCATTAGTCCTTCAGAAAAGTAATGGATATATGGACAGATTGTAAAGCAAATTATATCTAGTATTTTTGTACCATTTTGGTATGATTGTAATGTTCATTAGTTACGTGTATTAACTGCACAAGTACAAATTCATTCTCGTGTTTTTTTGTTTAATAAACAACTTGAAATTGTCTCTGCTGACTCATTTTTGCACGATTGTAATGTCTGACTGAAAGCCTGAGCTAAACACTGCATGTGCAAATAAAAACTCAAATCTGAATCTGTTTCCTGTGTGTAATATTGGGGCTCCTGCCAAAATACTAATCAAATTCTTTCACTAGCTCATATTTTTATATAATTACATTATTTTTATACAAAAAACATTTTTGTGAAAGAATTTTAATTATTCAATATACATTTAGAAATTGTGATAAAATCTCAAAACATTCAGTTTTGTTATATATCAGCCGGTGCGTCATGTTGGTTTGAATGTAAAAAAAAAACAAAACAAAAAAAAAACAATGTGCTTTTATTTTTGCACTTCCGTCATTGAACAGACCTACTTCCGGTATTTGTCCGTTTCCGGTTGAGAAGTGTTTTGTTTGGAAACAGGACAACAGAGTAACATTAGAGGCTGTTTTCAACCACAGTTATCAGCTATACATCCAGGGTTTGTATGTTTTTATCTTTGTGTGGTGATGTTAGCGACCGTTTGTTTTCAGGCAGCTAATTAGCTTCTTGTCTCCGTTTGTAGCTTAGCATGCTAACAATAAACAGACTGATGAAAGTCAGTGTGTTTTTAAACGTTTAAGGCTTTCGAGTCGCTTTTTTTTACAATAACCGTAAACTCAAATTAGCTACTAATAATTGAGATAGTTTCAGTATCTGGACTGCAAACTGAAATTTTCACTGTATTAACTTGTTAGCTTCAGCGCTGGTCGTGTTTGTAGCCGGAAGCACTGATGGCACCGGTCAATCATGAAATTCATTGCCATTCTAGCATTAATCAGAGTTATAGCACAAACCGCCACATGCCAAACGTTTAAAGTGGGAACATCTCTGCAAAATGTACAATAGCTACAAGAATAAGAATACATGTGTAGAAATGACTGGGAAGGTGATGACGTCATCAGGTTCTCACTGTAGGACAGTCAGACTGATGCCATCTGAAACACACAGCAAAGAGAGAACTTGTAGCTTTTACAGAGCTGTACACAGCCTATGACTGTAGCTAGCTAGCATTAGCTTGGCCTCATATGCTAGTTTGTTTCCTCTCATCACACCAAGCAGCCTCCTTCTGAACACACTTGCTTTATAAAACAATAGAATAGAAACAGCCTTTATTGTCCCGCAGGGAGGAAATTCAGGTCTTACAGCAGCAGCAGATATCTAAATACATTTAATACTCATTGTTGCTCTAACTGAGTGTATTTTATTGGATTTGTGTCTTTGATTTTTTTGTTGTTGTTGCTAATACATCCTATTCTATTTTTAAAGGAGAAGTGGTTTTAATTAAATAGAAAACTAAGCTTACTCCTACATCTCACCAGCATAACTGTTGCAGAAACAAGTGATGAATGTGTGAGTATAAAGGTATTATTGTCCTTAATGTTGATGTGTTTCAGTGGTTCCTGCTCATGTTGAACAGATGGTGCTGATTAAAGAAGAAGCTCCTGAAGAATGGAGGCCTGGTGTGGACCAGC